CCATTTTTCAGGGCCCGATGACTATCAGTTAGCATTATAATAATATAATCAGTAATACCAGCCAAGAGATGGCTCAGCTTTTTAAAACATTTTTATTGTAAGAGCCCATTTTAGTTTCTACATTCTTTGTTTTGTGCTTTTAAAATTCAGCCAGATAGCAAGATGACTGCCGAATAGTTTCAATGTGGTCATTACCAAGATAGAGGCATTGGAGTTATCATAATCCTGTATGACATATTTTCTCAAAGCATTTATTTTCGCACTCTTCTGCATTATCACAATTAAATGTAAATATTTGTTAAAGCATCCGGAACTCGACTGTCACATTCAACAGAAAATTTGTTATTGGTTTACATGAGCTTGGCACTGTTCAAGGATGAGATATAAAATACCATAGAATTTCAGCAATGGTGGGTGGGGCCACAGAGGTGTAATCCAACTTGTCTCTGATTTGTGACTCCCCCCTGCACCGGAGCTCATTCTTTGCTGGGTCGAGGGCACTTTCCACCATCAGAGGAGCCAGGCCAACCTGGGATCGCTCTAATTGTTAGACAGGTGTTCCTTATATTGATGACACTACACCCTGGAGCCTACAAAACCTGGTGATCTTAACTCTGTTTTGTGGAGTCACAGACCAAAACAAGCCTCTCGTTTTTATTCGTTTTACACTAAAAAAAAAACCACAAAAAAAAACTTCAAAAGAAAAAAAATAATAACTTTTTCATAAAGGAAAGCCTGGATATATTGCCAAAACTGACAACTCAATGAGGCTATTATAAAAGGAAGGAAAAAGAAAATTCTGAAAAAACAAAAGCTCCTTGCAATATGCTTGGTGCACATTCGCGGGTCACACTCTTTAATAGGTTTCATTTTACTCGTTACTATCCACCTTGCTGAAGAGTAGGGCATGACAATGGTTGAGGTGGATCTGAGCAGAGGCAGTAGGATATCATCAAGATACAAAAACATTATAGTATTCCCTTCCTGGTAACACCCAAGGGTTTAGCATCCTTTTATTTAATAAGATGTATGACGATTATAAGCTGCAGTTCCTCTGCAAACGTGCTCCCAAAGAGAACCATAATACACTTATCAGTCATGCTAACCAGAGTGAGGGGATCAGGGACCTGTGTGCCTTCATGGACTCCCTCCAGAAAAACAAAGTCTGTGTGCCCGTCTTCAGAAGCTGTGTTCAGACCTTACACAGTGGCTTCACAGTCCTTCAGAACCTTACATCTTATGAAATCAAAATCAGAGATTACTTTCAGAGGTGGTATGAACCTTGGAGGATGAATACTAGGTAAGTTTCCTGCTGAGGACTTTCTCATAAGAAAATGCCATTTCATGAGTTTCTAGCAATTGCCAAGGCAAGAGAAAAAAAATTTTTTTTTAAAGATTATAAACGTCCAGAGTATGTACCGTGTGCCAGAGGGTTTCCATAATCGTTTATGGAAAACACCTTGATATATTTCTGCTTTATAGACGTGACCTTCAGTTTACTACACCAGTTGTCAGAAAGGAGAACTGCTTATTTATTGCTACAAATCATATATTCCTGATCACACTTCCTTTCCCTCCTCACTACCAAAAAACCAGAACAATAAGCAAAGAACTTGTGAAAAAGGAGAAGAAATGGTCCTGACCTGTAATAAAATCAAGCTTCTCCTTGATCAAACAAAACCTGCTTTAAACTTGAGTTTACAGTGAGTTAGTCGTTATTAATTTTTCAGTACAATATGAACACCGCACTGACACATTGTGTATGAAGAGCTGGTCTTCCCACTTATGACTGAGCTGTTTTCAGCTCATCCTCAACATTATAAACATATTTCTTCCATAACCACTGGTACCCTAGCTCTGAACAGACCAGGCAAATAACCATACTGCTCAACTATCAAAACTGCAGAAATACAGGCCCCTGTTAGAGCATTTCCCACTAAAACGAACCACAAGGTAAATAGAAAAGCCGAATACCTATTGCTTTTGCTCCCTTCCACAGTCGTCTGATGAACTGGGTCTCTGTTCAGCCTCATGGAAATCTTGCTAGTAGGGAAGCAGCGACTTCTGCAAAAGCAGGACCAATCTGACACTCTCGCTAGCCAGCAGCACGTGTAAGGTGTTATATAACTATGGAAACAGGTGAATTTCACATTCTTTAATTAAAAAAAATGAAAAACGGGTGTTGGCCATCTTTACCTCAGTAAGGAGATCACCTGGTACAGGTGCCCATACTTACTTGATCATAAAATCACCTGAGACACTTGTCCAAAAAATAAGGATTCTCAGTTCTTCCCTTTTATGGTTCTGATGTCACCCCAGGTGACTTAGAATTCAGCGGGCTTGAGAAACACCATATATTTATAAAAGGAATATAAATGCACTAATCTAACAAAAGAAGGGTTTCTGCTAAAGTACCTGGATTTTCTGAAGAACACTAACAGTAGATGTTTGAGTGGCAACATTTTCACCAACCAGTTTTGTGGGGTTTTTTAAGGAGTGCCATTTATTTATTTATTTATTTGTTTATTTATTTATTATTTATTTATTTTAAATGAAAGTTTATCGGGGTGACAATTGTTAGTAAAGTTACATATTCACGAACCAGTCTTGAAGCAAAGAACTTAAAATTTAAGTTCATTAGTGAAATGACCACAGTTGCCAGCCAAAAATCCATGCAGAGAAGCCAAGTTCACAAGGAAAAGGGGGGTGGGGTGGGGTGGATGAGGGCTGCCCAGAACATCCCTAAATCTATTTTTTTTTAAAATTGTCTTTTAACAAAGGGTCCTTTCTCTTCTTTTCCACAGCGCCTGAGTCTACGTAGCTCATAGACTGGGTGCCTTTTACTTTAAAAGCTTTAGGGAATCCATCAGCTTTCAGAAGACAGACTTTCTTTACAAACAACTCTAAAGATATAAAAATTATCCCTTAATGTAAAGGACTGTTATTTCAAAAGGAGGATGTCAGTCACACCGTTTATTTACAACGCCCCTTTAAAAATTAACAGAAATAACCCCAAATGCTTTGAATGTGTCCAACTTAACCAGTGAATTAATTATATAGGTCATTCAGGGACATTCAAAGCATTGTAAACTGCCTTCATAATCGATCGAAATACAAAACTTAACTATATGCAGGTCGGAGAGAGATGAAAACTGAGGACGTTTCATGACCATGACCTAACTAATATCTGTCAATTACATCCCCCCCCCGCCCCCCTTAGAGAATGCAGGCTGATCTATCTACTCCTGGCAGACAAGAAAGGAGTAAGGGTACCCAGGTGCTGCAAGGAAACCATTCAGGCGGACACGGACCAGCGCCAAGGTCACAGCCCACCTGAATGAGAAAACGAAATCCGGGCACAGCCAGGAAAGGCTTCCCAGCCACAGGCGCGGAGACGTGTTTCTCCTGCGCGCCTCGTGATGCATAACGCTTAACGTGAGGACGGCCTCAGAAGACTCGAGAAGCCTTGGACACCGGAGCCTGACGCCCCCACGCGGGCGCGGGGGCTGTGCGGTCACCAGCACCCGGGTTCGAGTCCAGCCCCTGCCCGTTCCCGGCCGGGCGCCCTTGGGCCGCTCGTTCCGGCTCCGAGCGTCAGTTTCCCCATCTGAACAAAGGGGATCGTCCACAGCTCCTGCGGGGCTGGTGGGAGCAACGCACGAGGCGGCAGAAATAAATAAGTAAATAAATAAAGGGTGACCGTGCCTATTATTACTGTTGGGACCATGGCGAATTACTCCAACGGAGGCTCAGGAATGAGGGGGCCGTCAAGGCGAACTTTCTCAGGGGATCAGAC